CAATAGGTTTCTACCTCATAGTCACATATATAAGGTCTGTCCTGAAAGTCTCCAGTCATTTAATATATATAAACAAAACAAATATGCTATGTAAGGCAATGACATCTTAGTTTTCCACAAAGTATTCTCCTTGTAACCTCACAGACTTATCCAAGTATTCCTTTCATTTTCCAAAACAGTCTGAAAAGTTTTTTTCAGGAATACCATCAACTGTTTTGTTGCTTTTTTTTTAATTTCAACCACAATGTTTCAATTGTGATTTTACTTTTGGAAAAAGCCAGAAGTCACATGAAACCAAATATAGACTAGATTTGTTGATGGAGGGGTGTTAGTAGGGGTTAATCTGACAGACCTCGGTGTTGTGATGTATTGTTGAGATATGAATAATTTTCTCATAATCTAGTTAATTTTAATGCAGTTGGTACACAATACACAGGCTCAGTCAATGATGTCTGACTTCTGACTAATAAGTAATACTATAGGAAAGTGTTTGTTCATGCATATGCAGTAAGATTGCCTCTGATTGGTTACATTATGGTTGCACAATCAGTTTTTGATATATTCAAAATGATGGCTTCATTCCCAACAGGACCTCATAAACATATTTTGTTTGTCAAGAAAGGCAAATTAAAAGGGTCAATGAAGCTGGTTTCAAAGCTTTGTTATGGTCACTGCTATCATGTTTGTGCTGACACCTGTACCAAAGACATGTATCCAGTCTTCATAGTCTTCACAATTTCATATGCCATAACAGCAGAAAAAACAGGAGGCAAAAAAAATGAGTACACAGCCAATATAGTCTTTCAGTAATTATCAGTCCAAGTAATACAAGCTGAATGACTATTATCACCATTGTTAGAGCTGGTCAATATGTAAAGGGAGCAGCCAGTTTTTATTATTTTTGCTTTTCAGACTTATTTATGAAACAAAATTATCACTCATTCTAAATCTCTGCTGTTCAAATTTAAAAGGCTTTAAAAAATGTGATGACATTCAATGAAGATAAAAGAATATCAGTTTAGAGATTAGTTCAATTTAACAAATTTAAGAGGTTTAACATTTAGCCTCAACAATGTAATGGTTAATTGTTCCCTTTTCTAATGTTGCCTGATATCTACTTAACTCAGATACAAAAATTATATTTACTCAATAATATTAAACACCGAGACATAAAACTATACACAATTGGTCTTCTTTTTTGTTTAAGAATTTCATTTAAAATGTTCTTCTGACAGTAGACATTTATTGGATAAAGCCAACTTGTGGAACATTCAATGAATGCTTGTAAGGCAAACATGTTAAACTATGGCAAGTGCTATATGAACTTGAAACAGTATTTTTCTATTTAACTGTGCTTTATGTCATTGTACTGCTTAGTAACAACTACATTCTCTTTTAACCATTTCAATCATTTTTTAGTATTTGAGATATTTTTCTACTACCTACTTTCAGATAGTTGCAATAAAAAGCTAACAGCAGTTAACTTAGTTTTTTCTTCTAAATGTGATAATGAGTTAAATTCTAATGCTTTCTTTGTAAGTCAATATAACAAATACAGACATCTAATTATTTTCAAAGAGGTTTCATTTTGAAAAGGGAATCTATTAAACATACATGTACATCAGTTTAAGTAAATATTTTGTATTTACTCAGGTTGTTAGGAATGTAATATAAAATTGGAAGCAAATGAAACTGATTTAAATGTTACAGTAATCAACAAACTAATTGCCATCTTTAACATGTATGGTGACCCAATATAAAGGCATTTTTTTTTCTAATCTCAGTCAATAAAATCCTGGGGTTTATTATACAAATGAGACTGAGAGACTTGAATGAAGATCTTCCTTATTTCTAAATGTTGTGGCCCTAAGAAAATATATTTGTTATTGGAATGAATAATCATTTGAAGATTATTGATCTGGTGATTATAAAGTAAATCTTTCCAGTCTGATGATTTTTCTCTTGATTTTTGTTTTATTCAATGAGGCTTTATATTGTCATGCTGCAGAAGGAAAGCATTTTTGTTCAACAAAGCTGTGCATATCTGGTGCTAATACACTCATTGACACACTCATTGACAATAAATGTTTGCAGTGAGAGTTTCTTCAGAATTCAGTAACTCCTAGTGAATGATATCCACCATGTTCCATCAGATGCAGAACAAACACTTTTGTGAATGAAATCCTGGTTTAGGTGTTGGGATTAGTTTGACAAATGAAAATAACCATTGCTTTTTTTTTCATTTCTTATACTATGACTATTTCTTGTCTCCAGTGAAGAGAAGAAGAAGACGACAAGGAAATTTTCATGGCTGCTCAATAGATTCTTGGAAATGGTTAAAAAGTGTTCTGGATTCTCTGATAAGAATCCAGGGAGAACCCAAATTTCCTTCTTAGATTGTTATACAATATGCCATTTTTTGTCTCTTTTAATAATCAAGTGAAGAGAAGAGGAAAGTTTCATGGCTGCTCAACAGATTCTTGGAAATGGTTAAATATTGTTCTGGATCTAATTATTTAAAAAAAGTTTCTATTGGGGCTTTACTTGAGATTTTTCTGCATAGATGAACATGGTGCCTTATCTTTTTGGTAAATGACTTGTTTTGATGAGGAATAGTTTCTATAGTTGTCTTAGAGAACTCATTATCCTCAGTAGATGGTCTTCAAGAGTCAGGCTGATCAGAAAGATCTCAGTCATAATTTTAAAAAATTGTTTAAATTGTTGCTGGCATTTGTACATGGCACAATTATTCTTCATTCTTTTGTATTGCCGTAGTGTCTTTATGAAATTAGATACAATTACATGACAAAATGTGATATTATTTTTTGAATAACCTAATAATTATAATATTAAGATGGGTTTAGCTGCTTGTATAAATATATCTTTATTAGAATTTATTTCATATACTAGCATAGCACTGTGATTTCTGCTGAGGATGAAAGTGTTGGCAAGATTAAGTTTATATTTACAAGATTAGGAAAAATTATGAACCAACTACAATGCAATATTTAGTATTTACCATTTGAAAAAGATTTATTATTTATCATTTTATCATGAAATATGAAAAGAAATCTTTTTATTAAAAAATGTCTGAACTATAGAACAATGAAATTTAAATAAACATATGATTTATACATTTTCTTTTCAGATTATTTTGTATCTCAGTATCTTTCCTTGCATTGGGTGCTGTGGAGTATTTTGGTTTGGTTTGGTTTGGTTTGCAGCATAGCAACCTGAATAGGTTAATTAATGTCAACAAGATTTTTATTGCTAGTAATTTTTTTTTCCAAAATGTATTGCTGGTAATATTTTTTTTTAAAACATATTGCTGGTAATATATATTTTTTTTTTCAAAAATGTATTGCTGGTACTAAAATCTATTTTTACACTTTCATAGTGTTTTGACCCCAGTTTGGGGGTTAACTATTTGCCCATAGCTGCAACCCTAACAGGTATTACCACCCTGAGTCAGGTTGGACATGGGAACACCAGCAATTAAGATATGCTTTCATGCTCCTCAAAACCTCTTGATCAGAGGCCTTGCTGCTGGATGTAGTTTATTGTCATACCCAGGACATAGAGTATTTTGAAGTTATCTACTAATATTTGTCTTATGTTGATAGCTATATTTTGGTCATTCATGATGTGCTGATCAATTTGTGCACAGATTGAAGCTTCGACAGATGACAGACCAATCTGCAAGATAGTGTGGTACATGTGTGCTCAATATAAGTATTTAATGTTGTTTTTTGATTATTAGTGTTGGAGATGCAATTTTCCAGACCCTCAAAACCATATAAGCCATTATAGCACAAAATAAACAGCCCTCATTAAATAAAATGTCATTCAGCACAGGAGATGGTATCTTGAAGTGTATATGATATAATTAATGTATTCACATATATTATTATTAAAAAATTCAAAATAAATAAATTGCAATCTACGGCTTCATTCCTAATAGCCTTTAAACATGACATTACACTAGACTATTTTAAACACCCAGCTTCCCAAAGAATACCATGATGTAGACAAAGGAATACTAACTACCACACAGATACAACATCAGCTGTTGATAATCCCTGTAAAAGTCAAAAGTACTTGAACAAAAAATCAACATATGAACTTTGGACAGTTTATTGACAACTTCGAGCACAATATCAACAACTTATTAAAAAATTTGAAAAATATAATCAAACATTAAACAGACAATGTCATTTCTTTTTAATCAAACTTGTTTCAGTGAATACTTGCTATTTATCTATCTATATATAAGACAGATTGGTATCAATTGTCCACAGAATTCATCTGGGAATTTAACTATATTGTCGACATGGAAAAAAAAAATAATAATAATAATCCCTTACTATAAAAGTAATTTACATTAACCAGAAAAAAAAGGCTTAGACAGAAGTGTCTATCTTTTTAAATTTGGATTTTTAATGTAACTATAACAACAAAAACATTTCGATTTCATTTTTGCCTTGAAAAAGTTGGAAGACAAAACGCGTCGGCAAAATGTAAGATTTTTTTCCAATTGTCATTTGATACATAATTACCCATTCGGTTTACCAAGTTCTTCGTAACTTAAATATATATATATATATATATATATATATATATATATATATATATATATATATATATATACGTGTGCATGCATATATATGTCAACTATAAAGATGAGGATAAAAGCATCATTGAATATCAACAATATATTGTCTCAGAATTTCAAGCAGAAACTGCTATTTTTACTCTATTTACTTTTAATGAGAAGAGACAACCATATGCACACAGACATTTAATACTAACTTCATATGCCCTTTCAAATAAAAAATGAGAATCATTTTCAACATGTGCTAGTATTATAAGCTCTCTAAGCATCAATTGTTGGCAACTACCAGATTTGTTTTTTCTTACAATGAATTTAAGAAAATTATATAAATAATCTCAAATTGTATTCTGTCATAAGAATTTTATTTTTATCTTAAGCTGATTCTTGCTTACGGCCATATCACGTTAAAACATCAGTTCCTGTATGATCACCAAAGTTAAGCAACATTGAGCCTGGTCAGTACTTAGATGGGTGACTGCTTGGGACTACCAGGTGCTGTAAGCTAGGATGTGTAGGTGGTGTAATGGATAATGGCTTGGAATTGTTAGTCAAAGAGCTGAGCTCCAATTCCAGTTCAATTTGTTATATTTACTTATGCACAAATACACTTGGCAAAAGTATGAACCCACCTATACTCCTCCAGCTATGGGTTAATTAGTATGACTTGTATCACTAAATCATTATTATCTGAAAAAAAAATTCTACAATTTAAAAATATTCTCTGCCTTTAAGTAACCTGCAAAGGGTTGATAAGTCGTAAAAAAATCAATCAATCAAATCAAGTTGATTCTTGTCTGGCATTTACAGACAGTAAGAATAAATTAATATATATATATATATATATATATATATATATATATATCATATATTATATCAAGAGGGTGCTGAAAAGTTTTACAACTGTCCAAGAAACCTTAAATAAAATTCTGATGTTTGTTTCATTTGGGCAGACTTTGTGAAGTGGATTGAGCCAAGAACTTTTTAGCACCACTTTTTACTCAATACTAAATTAGATAAATTGAAAGAATTTTGAGATTTGTTTAGAGTGTACATCAGTATCTTTAAAATGTTTTACTTCCAAAGAATTGTCTTAAAATATAATAACCTTTTTTCATTAATTCACAATTTTGTCTGTAGCCAAATTTAAATTGTAATTGATAATATTTGGTTATGCAATCATTTGGATTACACCAAATCTAAATGTTTCTATTTGCTAGTAAAGGAAGGGATATTGAATTATAAGTTTATTGCATTGAGTTTTTAAAAAATTTTACTGATTTAATTACAATCCCAAATAATGTTGCTCATCTTTAGTTGTAAGGTAAAAAACATTTTTAGTAATATGCTGTAAGCTAAGTCTTCAATTTATTATTTTGCTCTCCATAAAAGAGAAATCTTAGAACCTGAACAGGTGAAAACAAGTATGACTGCAATTTTGTATATTTATGAAGTTTAACACCCACAATTCTAACATTTTTATTTTACTGACCTGTGTTGGCCAAGAATAGAATAATAGGGATTCCCCAAAGACTAACTGACCTCACTGGTAAGCCAGTATTAGTTGCAGCAATGTCCTGAAGTATTGGGTTTTGTCATGGCTCAAGGCCAACTACCCATAGAGAATTGTGTAGGTTTAGAATGATGCTCTCAAGCCACACAGCCAAGAAAGTGTACAACTTCTGGCCCTCCTCCAGCTTGAACCTGGATGTACTTGATTATATGTTATGAGATGTCCTGAAGTAGGTTACCAAGAATACCTCACACCCTAACATTAATGTCTTCAAGATTGTTGCATAAAATAGTTTCAACACCACCAAATTAATGAAATGAATCTCTGGATATTATTCCAATAATATTTCCCCATTAAAATAGCTATAATAGAATACAATATTCAAGCACAGAATTTCTTTGGGAAGGAATAAAAACTGCTGTAAGTAATAAAGTTGAAAATGTAAAATAATTTAATAAAATCAATGGTTGAATAACTGATGTAGGTTATAGAAGGTCAAAAAACTGATATTATTAAATAAAATAATTTATTCAACTATATGGAATAGTGTATTAATCAAACAAGTTTCTTTGGTGTATATCTTTTGAATTTATTCATGAATAAAACTTTGTTACACTTTGCATACTAAAACCTGACAGCCCCCAAACAAGTTATTATTATCAATATTCTTTAATTAGGATAGTTATTATAAACTGAAATGCATAATATTTTGCTCATATAAATATATCTCAAAAATTTTACCAATATCAGTTAGTTAATACCAAAACATTGACATATAATAATATCTGACATATTTTAAGAAAGTCTTTTAAAATATGTTACATTTATAAATTCTGATATAATAAATCCAATTTATTAAACAAATTCTAGAATATTGCTTTAATGATCTAACCCTAGCCCAAATAGATTTTTCTACTAAATCTAATTTCAATAACCAATAAAATATTTTACAAGAATCTTAAACTCTCAAACAATCATTTTATCTGAGTTTGCACAATGATTTAGTCTATTAAACCCATTGTCTAAGGTAATTCTAAATGGAAGTACTAATTAATCTATTTAAAATTTAGAGAATATACACTTGTTTTAAATTGAAATGAGTATGATTTTTGAAAGAATTTTTGATTTAGTATTATTATTTTGATTCTTGAATTTATTAGTTTATTTTTCAATAATCTGTCAAATCCTATATCAGAATAATAAGTTGTTTACTTGGGGTTAAATGAATCTTCAATGTTATTCAGTGCAATAAGAATTTTCAAATAAGTTAAAATGCTAAGAAATGAATATTGGAAGAAATTCAACTATTTTCATGGAAACCAAGAGTAGACGACAACAAAAGAACAATCACCAGAACAGAAAGCGGATTCAAATAATAAGAACTGTTTTAATTGCAGACTTTTTATTTAATAGTACTTGTGTCTCTGAGGAACAATTTTCATAACATAGATTTAATAGATTATTATGAAGGACATTTTTCTATTCATTTGGCATGTTACCCAATGACACTGATATTTGGTGACTTAGTTCCAAAAATTATTACATAATACACAGTAAGGTTTCAGGTACTTCTTACTTATAAACTTAGAAGGTCTTTTATAAATTATTCTAAGTTACAGACTAATGTAAGATCATACAATTTTAGGCCAACATACAATTACTTGAATTATGAAACAGAAAGAAAATGAAATATATTGGACACCATTATCTGAGATTAGAACAGTACAAAGCAAAGTAACTCAAGTGAAAATGCACAATATCTGATAGGTTAAAGAAAACTAAGGTAAGTGCATGACTTATTTGTATCAAAATATTGAAATAATTACTAATGCCACAGTGTTTCTTGTAATTTTAAAATATGAGAATAAATTACAAATTAAGAAACTTGCAGATTTTTCTTTTGATTTTATATGTTTTTCATAAGATAATCTAAATCCAGTTCTAATTATATCACGTGTTTTCTTTGTATTAGTAGGTGTTTTCAGTTTTTATCTTATTTTATATTGTGAAGAAAACGTTTTCTGGTCATCATCAGATTAATTGCAAAAGAAAGTTTTATGTGGTTGCTATTTAGTGAATGTAAAACATTATTTAATTGCTTGGGCTATGATGAATCCATTTCATGGATTTGAGTTAATCACAGGAACTACTTTTTTCAATGCTAAATGTTTTATGATCAATTGTTGGATTTAAAATTGCAACACCAGCTTCAAATAGAAGCATCTCAGCTCTAGGTCATCATACTTTCATAAACTGAGTCTTAGTAATAAATAAAACAGTAATAAGCACTTCCTTATGTAGATTTATGGTTACAGAATAGGACTGCTAATTGAGAGATTTACAGTTTCATGTTAATTGGTTAACCCTTTGAACACTGACTCCTGATGTGTATGAATCTCCCACCATGGGCCCCTGTTGTCCATCTCTGCTGCCCATGATTCTGGACAATATACCTGCCACCTGGGTATATGGACTTTCACACAGCAGCCACTTGGGTTCAAAGGGTTAATAGTGCTTAATAAAACATTTAAACTATTGAAAAATCTTTTGTATTTCAATAAAAGTTATAGACATTAAATCATAGTCAACACTAAAGAATTTTGGCAATTCAATCACTATTCAACAAGAGAAGAGACATAAATTTTTGATTTCTATATCTCTGATCTCATTTAGATTATCAATACCATAATTCTATATTATGGCTGACAAAAAATGTTTTATGAAGATTATATTGTACATGACAAAAAGCCTATAAAGAGGTCAAATCCTCATCATTCCTTGAAGAATAAAGCCACATAAGCATGATCAAAATTGTGCAATTCAAAATTAAGAAAAAATCTTTCCATTCAAACTATGCTTTATATGCATCTAGTTTAAGACTTTTTGCCCAAATAAAGAGAGTGATAGTTTTTAATTAAAGATTAATGATTAAATAAGGAATGTTTTCATATTTATTCCTTATTTAATCATATTTGAAACTCAATGTACATCCATTTAACACTTTCCCCAAAAGATGATACCCTCTGATTCTAAGCAGAAGTGTTGATTACATTATTTTTGAGTTATTCTGCTAGTATTTATAAATTACTTAACCATGGAAGTTAGTACTGATCTTCTTTTAGCCTGAGTTGAAATGCGATTAATATTCTAGAAAAAAAATTTAAGCATTTTTCATTGCTACTGAAAGTGAATGCCTTTTTTTTTTTTGTTATTTGCATTTTAATTTATACCTTATTATCATCTAGTACTGCTCACATGTAAAAATCTAACAGCTTAAGTATTTGTTATTAGAATAAATACTGTTATTATTAAAAGGATTAATAATATTTAACTTTTTGTACATTGAATATAATTGGAAGTTTCAGTTTATTTGATCATCCCAGATATGATGTTTTAGTTTGTATTATTTTCTTATTAAATTATTTATCTCTCATTTTTAGGTTCTCACTTGGTTATTTAGCAGAAATATCATTTTATAAAATTTCAGAAGAATTTGTTTTATACTCATGTTTCTTCTCTGCCACTAACCTGCACAAATTCAAAGTCAATTTAGAATAAGGATTTTTCTTCTGTTTTCCACAAGAGTTCTATACCACTTTTCATTCTTTTAGATTTTCATAATTTTTATATATTTATTTTCTAACTTGATGTTCAAGTTCATAAATTCTAATCCATTTGTTGAGTTGCCTGGAACTCTGATGTTAGGGTATGCACTGAAATATTTAATATATTTACATATGGACCTATATTTCTTATGTGTGGAAAAATTATAAAGCAAAATTTAGAAAGGAAAGATTTGATTTTTTAAAAAGGTATGTATGCATGAAGATGAAAAACAGAAAATTTCCTAAAATTAAATATTACAAGATAGTTGTGTGTGTGAATTGCCATGAGAATATGCATAATATTAAATTCTACATGTGCCAAACACAATTTTACAGATACAACACAACAAGAACTTTTCAGTAAATCTATACATTTGCCTTTATATG